AAAGCGGCTCTGAAGAAGGCGATACTGCCGAAACGTCAGCTAGCGTTGTATTGTATTGTGTTTTTATGGAAGTAAATGTATGCTGTTTAAAAACCTCGCGATTGCTGAACAAGAAAACGACACAGTAGATGGTGACAAGATTAGGAATACGAAATTCTACCACTTTCTCGATTCTCGTCATCAAGGCGCTCGCCAGTCAAATGAACCTTTTCAAGCAGCTAGCAACTACTATTTCTATGCTGATTTTAAGGAGCACTTCACTAGTACTATGTCCAAATACTGTATTTTTCATGATTGTAAGCAGATACATCATTCATAACGTATTTCAATAATAAATGCTGTCGCAAATCCACGATCGTTTAGACGTCTTGTTTTCTTGTGAAATAATGTTTGCACATGACGGTGTCGAAATTCACTGTTTTCTTGATGATCAGACATAAGGTCGTTAACAAAATCATTCAATACAATGAATGTGCCTGGTTCATTCAAGCCAACCGCGTGCTCTTTGTGGAACGCGAAGGAGCAATAAACATGTACGTCTTCCCCATTCGACAGCTCATGGCCCTCTTAAAAGAGTTCCTATACTGCTCAATCTCTTGATGATCTGGAACATATTTCGCACAAATGAGGGGTTGATTGGCAATGGGCCAGCAACTGACACCAAGCTTTCTCATTGCCTTTATGCCTTGGATGAAATCTTCAGTAAGCGTTCTCAGGCCACTAATGTGTTGTACATATATAGATGATTGCTTTGTCATCTGTTCCACACGAGAAGAGATGGACAAATAATTTGAGTTCTTGAATGAACAGCTGGAGCACATAACGTTCACCTGAAAGAATCGGAAAAAACTGGCTTCCGTTTCTGAACGTTCAAATTCACCTATCAAAAATCGCCTACAATATGAACTGCTACCGAAAGTTAATTATGAAGAACATACCGCTTCATTATCTTTCCTCTTATCCTTCACAAACCAAAAGGGCGCTCGTAAGAAACGTGTTTCGAACAGCCACAAGTGTAAACAAGCCGCATAGAAAGAAAGCAGAAGAAAGAACCTCGGAGCTTAACCTATTGTATGCCCACCTACGCGAAACGGAGAATTTCATAATTTGTTCCAACGGTAGATATAGTGGTTGGAAGAGTTGCTGGACGACGTTCAATCTCTTGTAAAACATGCCTGGATGAATACATTGGAGAAACGGGTAGGCTGCTTTGCGTTCTTATAAAAGAGCACCTACTTTGAAAATTTAAAAAAAAATACCCCACTGGGGATGCAGAGGATATAAAGACATAACGAAAAAAATTTAGAAGTAGAAAGCACTATCCTATCATAGGACTGTAAAACATCTGTGGAAAAGACTCTTGAACCATTTTCGATAAATTCAAACACCAAATATTAACAGGGATAAGTGTCCTGTAATCACGCATTATCCCACGCCATACCTCACGTTGACATTTAGACCAGATCCAAGAATTTTTTGACCCATGTAACGCTCTGTACGTCTGGCCTCCATTAAGTAACTGGAACATTTAAAAAATAACTGTGAGTGCTTAAGAGAAGCCGTTTACTATGTGAATAGACATCTGTGTATCAAGTTTTCTCTTCCGAAGATATGAAAATGTCTGACTAAGTAGATTGAGTACCAACTTGACCTTTCCAAGCTCTAAAGAAGGCGAAATTGCCGAGTCATCTGCCAATACTGTAGTGAATAAACTCTCTTATTAACTCTGGTATCTGCACATCAAAAAAACAACGAGTTATCAGATCAATGCCGAGGTTAACAGGAAGTCGGTGTTGGGAATTTTGTCGACATTCATGCTCTTATTATATTAATTGCGTAAACTCACAACGACCACTTCAATGATTTATTATTTGCTAGCTGAACGAGCACAATACATTCATAAGTGAACAGGGATGTAAATCGCCGTTAACAACGTGCCGAACAAAGGAATGTGCAATTAGCGAGTGATACGACACATATGTCCTTTCAAAACAGCATAAAATTTGATCAAAACTCTAGTTCAAAATCAAAAGTTCGTAGCCATGAAACGTGCCTCCACTGTTATCAGATGGAGGCTGCAGAATGAGGATGCGCTGGAAAGCAAAGGAATGCATGACAGCAAGCGGACGTTCGACAAGTCACCGGCCGTTTGCTATACTTAGGACATACTTCAGAAAAGCAAGAAACAATGCGATAATACAAAAATATTTCTATGAATGAAGGGGCAGCATTCTTTCTAGAAGGCAGGCGAATAGGCGGGCGAACAAAACCTCAGCGCTTGCGAACCAAATTCACGAACAAATTTATTAAAACTGGTTTTACAAACTGGAAAAGCACAGATGGGATGGAAAAACAATGAAGGGAACTGAAGAAAAGACACAATACGACAGACTTTTAATACCGGTTTCTAGTTATAAGTGTCTCGACTTCAAAAGAATACTGTCTCGGATACAAGACAATAAATATATTTAGCCGTTTAATGGACAACAACTGACACAAAACATCATTCAGCGGCTCGTTTTGTCGCTCGCCTTAGCGTGCACGCATAATGGATAGCTATACAAGGAGTGCTGATTAAATTACAGTACCCAACTAGTAAGTGAGAGTTACAACTAAGGAAGGCAGCTGAATCCAGAATAAAAACCTGCATACGATAGGAAGCGACGCGTGTTGCACAGACTAGCGCTAAACGCTCGCCTTCTTGAGCTTGTCGGTATGGTCGAAACCAGTAACTATAAGCGTTGCGGTAGCGTTCAAGCATGCAAGAAGTCACTGTAGATCGCATGGCAATCGATCGCAGCCTTTCAGCACTACGGCCTAGGAAACGAATTCACTTCCAGCTATACTACCATTTTCATCATCGTTTCTAGCTAAATTGTCGCTAGATCCGGGAAGTTGATACGCTGGCCGAAGTCGAACACCTTCTCGAGTTCTTCGCGCCGCACCACCACTGCAAAGTAAATAACGATCCTTCTCCTCAACAATGATACACTATTCGAATGAATGTTTAATCAACGCTATCGTTACAGCGCATCAGCTAAATCTACCTACCGTAAGTTATTATTTTCCCGTGTGAGCGTATGGTTAGCTTCAGTGAGGTCATCAATTTCTCGCTGAAGATTCCTCGACCTAGCACGCTCTCGTGTCATCTCTTCTTCTTGCTCATCCAATTGACGACGCATTTGTTTTGCACGCGAATGGCAAGTTTCTATCTAAGATATGATGAAATTACGTGCAACATTTCATTTTCCATGTCACTTTCGTACTTTACTCATAGAACACCAAACAGAGGCTAATAATGAAAAACAAAGAACAAAACAAGAAGTATTGTGATATAAAGTAATGAAACAGTTCACCGTTTCCCTCTGCTGCTCAACGTTTCGCCTTTCATTCTCAAGCTGTACCATTGTGTCATGGAGACGCTTTTCTATTCGTCTGAGAAAGCACGAAACGATTTAAGTAAATAAGTCTGAAATACAAAAGAGCAAAATAATAAAAGAACCAGTTACCTAAACTGTCGCATTGCATTCTGGCGTTCCTGAATTTCGATGCTATTTTGTTCTTCTAAATTTTGGATTTTTGCTTCAAGCGCAGCGACCTGCGCTCGAGCTCGTGACTGCGCCGAACTTTCAAGCTCAGCCAGCTGAAATCCTTATAGTATTCTAAGTTATAAGGAGAAAAAAGAATGTACAACGACATCTAGCCAACAACGAACCTTTGCCTTTAGCTCGCGATTCTGGCGTTCAAGGCACTGCCGTTCGGACTCCGATTTTTGAATATTTGACCTTTCCATAGATAACTCAGTGGTGATTTGCTCCAACTAGAATTAAACGTACTCAAATATTTCTTTCGCATATATCTACTATGTGTAATACCTGTTGTTGTGCTTTACGATGTTTATCTATAGCCATGTCGGTACTGTTTTGTTCCGCCTCGAGCTCCTCTTCTAACTGGGCCACCTTTTGTTCTAGACGTCGTTTATCCTCGGTTGATATTGCACCTCCCTAGCAAATACAAGCACAATGCTGAATAATGCGAACCACATAGAAAAGTGATACAAAATATACACGGCTACGATACTCCTCCAACTCGTCCTTCTCCTGCTCTAATTGCCTTTTTTGAGCAATTAACATTGCATTTGCTTCGGCTAGACGTTGATTCTCCCCCTCAGCTGATCTACAAAAAAGCAGGTGACCGCAATGTAGAAGCAAACAATGAGATATTAGTGCTCCTACCGCAACCTCCGCTCGATTTCTCTAAGCTGTGAAGAGAATTCTTCCTTCGTTTGTCGCGCTTCTTCACTACCGTGCTGACACTCCTTCATCATTTGCTGGTTCTTCTTCAACTGTTTATTATAATCATCCTGGAAAAACTTTATATTAAATCCCTACGACCGCTCTAACCATGGAAATAACTTGACAATTAAACATTCAATGTTGTAAAACACAAACAGCAATATTGGTAACCTTGAGACGATTCGCAGCATCGAGCTGCTGCTCTATTTCAGCTATACGAGCTTCCATCTTTTTCTTCTGATTAATTGCAATAGATTTGCTACGCCTCTCGTTCTGGAGTTCCTGTTCGATCTCGCGAAGGTGCTTCACAAGACCTCTGCGTTTATCTTCAGCTTCCTAGAATATATTCGATCAAATAACGCTTAAAGAAAGAACTTAAATAAACAAAGGTACAGAAACTATAATAGCTTAAAATCACAAATTCCGCAGCAAATGTTCTTCTCTGTTCAACTTTATTTCACCTATGCTTACCAACACCACATATAGAATCTTTCTTGTTCAACGTTGATTGAACTTTACCAGCGCAAAACACTGACCAGGTCTTTTGCAGTGAGATTGCGCTCTTTTTCTGCACGCAGAGCCTGGATGTTAACTTCAAGACGAAGTCTAAACAGATCAAGATATCAAACAAAGAAATGTTCTGGGTGGAGCATAGTAAACAATACCTTACCTTGCATCCTCGGAAAGCCCAAGTTGATCTTCAAGATCTTCTATCGTAACCTTCTGCTCTTGAACAGTCTGTTCCAACTGACGTTTTGACTTTTCCAATTCATGCACATTTTTTCCAACGTCATCTTTGGAAGAGATCTGTACAACTAATTAGTAAGGAAAGCAAAAACATAACCTATGTGTATACAGTTGCGATCACGTACTGATTCGTCTAGCTCTAACTGGAGCATGCGGCGAACTCTTTCGCTTTCGTCCATCGCTCCCTTGAGCTGTTCAAGTTCATTTGTAAGTGAAAGTATTCTAGTTTCGCGGCCCCGTAATTCTTGTGCATGAGTGTCGCGTTCAAGAGTCACCTGAAAGAAACCAATAAGCACTGACATTTGATATTCGACAAAGATAAATAGACAAGGCGTAATGTAAAAACATCATAAATACAAACTCAATCAGGTTTCATAACGACTAGTTCGTCAAAGATCTTACTTAAATCACAAAAAGTGGGAGAAAATTTAAACTAGAACGAAATTTTGCAAAAATGTCTACATAAAAAATTATTATATCAACCTTCTGCACATTTGCTCGCTCCTCGGCCAACTGCATGTCGAATTTCTTTTGTCTCTTCTCCATCTCCCTCGAAGCTGTGCGAACATTTTCAAGTTCAATGTTGGCATCTTCCAACTGGAAAACTGTTCCTCTACGTAGATTTGATAGCTGCGATCTTTATTCAACAAGCGTACCTCTTGCTGCAGTTTCTTCTTGGCTTGAACGAGTCGCTCTTTTGCTGCCTCGCTTTCTTGAAGCAAGTGTTGGCAGTTCTCTAAGTCACGTTGGGCCTAAATTGTAGAAGCAAAGCCTTGAACATTTAAAAAAAAAACATATTAGTGATACCCATAAGAACGCAAAAATTGTCTACAAACATATGGAAACGAATTCATTCATGAACCCACTTTCTTCCTCAACTCTTCCACGTGCTGAATCACTCCTTCATCAGCCTTCTTTCGAACCTCAGCGAGCTGTGCGCGCAGCTGATGAGTATCCTCAAAAGTCAGTAGTTGTGTGCTGTTAAGAGTAAGAGATCTATATAGTGTAACTCACTGACCCCTCAACAAGTCTTAGCACTCATATTAACGCTGTATTTGCTGCCTACTATAATTAACTGGGCTCAATGCCGATTTGTGGTCCCCAGGCTAATCCCGCTGATGGGTGATGGCTGATGACAACGTTAGGTAGAAAGCTAACTGAGAGAAATGCAAAGCAAAGCCTCAGTGGTGCAGTGTGTAATACGTGAGCCCCTGAAAAAGGTAATCGAGGTTCGATCAGATCCTGAGTCCAAGTTTTGCGAATAACTCGGCATCGTTGTTGTTGCATCTTAATACTTAGTTTCCGAAGTTGGTTTTTCAGAAATTACTGATAATTTTCTAACAACCAGAATACTTCAGCAATTCAACGGTTATTTGAAACTGTTATATGATCCTTAAAATATCCGAAACAAAATCGCGGCAACCATGAACATCAACAATGCATTTGGGGATACCACCGTTTTCTAACGGACGAAATACTACTTCATTAACTGTTGATATTTTCGAAATAAGGGTTTTGACGAAGAAAAGGGCAGAGAATATGTTTGATGGACAATGAAAAGTTAAAATTCTATTAAGATAAAGCAAACGCGCTTTTATCCCTTGGGCAGATTTGCAGACAATGATACTTTTCAGTGCAATTAACTTTGAACTCAGCATTTTGTTTCGAACTTAAAAGCGGTCGTCGTTCTCGGACGCACCGTGTGAGTGAAAACTAAGTCACATCAGCTTCCAAGTTTTAACAGATAAAAAAACCTACACGCTCCATGTGTTGACGAGCTGCGTCAATTTCATCACGTTCCTCGATAATTGCAGCTTTTTCTTCCTCTAGTTGCCGAACCCGATTGATTTGCGCCAGTTTAGCACGAGTTTCCTCCTGCAAATCACCAAGCATCATCTTATATATCATATGAAGCATTACTGTTCCAAAAGCATGGCACGCACATGAACTTGATCAGTGACTTCATGTAGTTGCTTCTCAAGTGCTGCAATTTTTCTGTTGAGATTCGATACAAACTGTTCCTCGTCCTCCCGTGTGCGACTTAGCTGGTCAAGTTCGTCGCGAGCCTAGAAACAGAAGCATACAAACCTTGTGAAACAGACAATCACCAGACAAAGACGCAAGAAAAGGGAGCTAAGAAAACGTATATAATACCCTTTCGAGTTGCTCCAGTGCTTGCACACGATGTTCATCACATTCAGAAAGTTGTGACTGTAGATCCATCAGCTGTGATTCCTGCTGCTTTCTGCGTTTATCAGCTTCAGATTTCTGAGCTTGCAAAGTAGCCAACTCTTGTGACAACTCTGCCTGAATCAGTTATGGTTGTGTTTTAAAACAACATTACACAGCACTATCCCATTATTTACTACAACTTTATTTCACGTTGTAAGAGTAACAAACTTCAGCAAGTTATGCCTTCAAATCGATTTGCTAGAAACGGCGGAGATTTTTTTTAAAAAGAGACGGAAAATTCACCCTTTCATTCTCCAACTGATGCCTATTCTTTTCCAGTTGAGAACTGAGCTTCTTCTGTTGCTCCACCTTCTCATGAAGTTCTTCGATCTGATTACTATACTTCTGTTTTTGTTCCTCGAGTTTATTCTCGAGAGCATGGCTCGTGGACTCGAGAGCTTTCTGGAAAGAACAAAACGATAGCATGTTTTTAAATTGTTGAACTTACACGAAGTTGATAAAGTTATTTATTTCGGCGAACTTCCGTCGTCGTCGTGTTCATCAGAGCCAAAGAAGACGCTACATTGAGATAACGAACAACTGTGGAGGTGTCGGCGACCCACAGTTGTTCCTTATCTCAATGTGGCGTCTTCGCTGTCGTACCGAGACAGGATCTTCTTCAATGAACGCCACACGAATGAGCCATACACACCAGGCAGTGTCCTTTTATACAGGGTAGTTGTTGTTGACAAGTCTATCGTTTACCGTTATCCGTCCGCCGATTATCTGTTGAAAAACAAACTGTGATCAACGGATAATCTTATCAACAAGAACTGCCCTGTATAGAAGGACACTGCCGGTTATGCATGGCTCATTCGTGCGGTGTTCACTGAGGAAGATCCCGTCTCGGTACGGCAACGAAGACGCCCTATCGAGATAACGAACAACTGTGGACCACCGACACGGATCATCGACTCAGATGAAGACGAAGACGTCGAAACGTTAACCGAAATAATTAAGCTTATCAAACTCGTGTAAGTCCAACAATTTAAAAACATGTTCATTATTTCACTACCGAAGTTAAATGACAGTCGGTTCGAAAGTTGATAGCATGTCCAATGAAAATGCAAGAGCTATGAGCGTAGGACGAACTGAAAAAACAGTACCTTGAGATCGCGAACCTCATCCTCTTTCCTTCTCATAATATCCTGTAGGACACTGGTCTCGTCAACTTTGTCGAGCATATCGCCTTTAACTTTCTCTAACTGGGCGACAGCCTCTCTAGATGGGAAATTAAATATGCAAGCCTAACCTGAGAAAGAATGGAAAATATATGCTCAACATTACCGACGAGCAATTTCGGCCTTATTGCGGGCCATCCTTTCAGTTTCGATGTCTTCACGAAGTTCATCGATAGTCTCTTGCATGTCGCGAATTTGTTTTTGGAGAAGGGCTATGGTAGCGGACTCTTCGTCAGATCTAAATGTTTCATAATAAAGAACAAATTCAATGTTCGAAATGAGCTATGGAATAGGACGAATGCCAAGAAAACCGTTCAAGAAACATTTACCTCGTAAGCGCTTGAGATAACTCTTCTTCTCTCTTCATAAGCTGACCGCTGAGTTCTTCCAACTTATTGCGTTTCTCTTCCAGTAAATCGCGGCTATCCTCCAACTCGCTTATGAGCTTTCTTTTCTGTTGTTCTACGTCGTTCTTAAGTTGTCGCTCACGTAGAAGCTCTTGCTCAAGCTCTTGCACGTGACCTTCGAACTTTAAAACAACAGCCATCTATCCATTCACAAAATTGAAAATCTGTGCTATGAACTAAGCATTTGAAAGATTGACCTTGGTTCGCTGTCTTCCAACTTGTTTCACACGTTCTTCCTCCTCGGTGAGCTGCGCATTGAGCTGATTCATTTTATCCTCTAGCATTCGTTTTTCTTTAAGTAATTTGTCATGCGAATCCTAAAACTCCACTCTTTAGAACAACATGCAACATAATAAATTTGGATTCCTTTGAAAATACTCACGGTGATGTCAACCAATTTCGTCTCAACGTTCTTGAGTCGCTGGTCAACGTTGGCCTTATCAAGCTGAAGCTTTTGACGAGCTTGCTCTTCCTGTTCCAGTTGTTCCTCTAGATCACGGACGGTTTCCTGGATAAAAGTTATTGAATAGTTATACAGGCTATATATATATGTATATACACATATATATATATGTATTATGCTATAGAAGAAAAGAGAATATAACGAATCTGGTTGCCCAATAGTTATTGACTAACAACGAGCTTTTTCTTCTCTTGAACAGTTTTTTCTGTTCGTTGTTCTTCTTCAACAAGACGGTCACGCATCTCATTGACCATATCTTCGAGCTCGTTCTTCTACAAGCATACGCATACAGCAGCAATCCGAACAACCATACAGATGCAATGGATTCTTCAGTAAAGATATATTGATAAATCTATAAAACTCTAAAAACAAAGACTTAAGATCGCACTTTGAGCTGGAGGCGATTCTTCACTTCTTCGAGTTCAGCGTTATTATCAGCCTCCTGTTGCAATTGATCTTGCAGTATATTTCTTTCCGTAGTCACCTATAACAACATAGATTGAACGAGTTTTAATAAAGCCAAACTAAAAAATTGAACTATTGCATATCACGGACGCACTTCAAAATAAATGTTATAAAAAGTGTGATAAAACATAACACTTCCCAACGGTTTAATGCCACATCGTGGCTGGTAGGTGTTTTCCAGCTGGAATTCATCCCCCTGGCAAGGTCTCCCAAGCTGAAACGGAGTTCGGCGTTTCCATCAGGAAGCCTAGCTAAGAGTAAACCAATATTAGGATCCACCACCATCCTGCTACCAAACTAGTCGTATAGTTGCAAATCCCCTTCTGATCCACAAGGGCGGCGATTACCTATTGGTGGTAAAGACCTAAGGCAGATTTCTAGACTGATTTGGAGGCTCCAGGAAATTACAATGGCTAAACCAGCAAAACTCCGGAAAATGAAGAATAAGCTGGGACCCACACAACCAGTTAGGACGGAGGTCCAAGTATCCAGGTAATAAAGCATAAATAACCTGATCAATCTTGCTTAAACTGTCGCGATATTCTATTTCTACGTTCTCCAATTTCTCTCTTATAGAACGAAGCTCGTCTTCCTTCGCAGATATAGCAGCCTCCTGATTCGTGACTTGTAGAAGAGGTTTGACCTAGGATTTAAAAAATAGTGTAGCGAACAACAGAATAGACTACAGATAATTCACTAACACTCAAGTTACCTTCGTAAATAATCTCCACCATTGCCAATTCCTCAACTTCATCCATGCCAAACCATTACGTTGTAGAACGCGAATAGCATTCGACTGCTGCATCTAAAAATGAGTAAAGTCAATTATGACTGAAACAAAACAGCCGAAAAATGAACTAGCCCTTTTCATGTAGAGCAGCCTGGCAAGGGATGCACGACATTCAGCTTGGAATTTGATGATGAGATATGTTAGTTTCACGTCCCTAAAAAAATAGTAAAAGCTAATAAACAATAAAAAAAAAAGCGCAAAAGATCAAAAATTACCTTTCTTCTTCAAGATGAGCAAGAACACCCGTCCTGAAGAACAGCTTTGACTGCCCGATACGATATAAATTTGTGTCAACCTCCAGAGACTCGAGCATCTTCCTAAATCAAAAAGCGAACTCTAGAAACGTAACATTTACTCACCATTTGAAATTACAAGAGGCTTACTTTACTGCTTCTTTACCATCCATGAATCCACGAGGAATCACGTTTGGCGTAATTATTTCGTACCGGTGCCGGAATTCTTGGAATGGAACTCTGTTTGGATAACCTTGTCTACAAATTCGAATGCCCTCTAGCACACCATTGCAACGAAGTTGTTCAAGTACGAGCATTGAATTGATTTTGCCAGCCTTTAACGAAAAATAGAATTTGGTATCCATTTTCGCTACGATACACTAAGCAAACACATTGCATAAACATATCGATATTCTGTAGCACATGTAGCGCACTGGTTGCAAGCACCCTGGAATACACATGGGACGGATACCCACTCCCCACACCCAACAAACCCTCTATCCCTCCGGGGTTGGCAACAGGTACCAGACTTGCCTGGGAGGATAGCAGCACTGGTTCGATACGTTGGTTGGACAGCGCGAGTCACTGTTAAGGTTAGATATGCACTCAATCAGCTACAAACGACGCTTAATGAAGTCGAATGCATGACGCATAACAAAGGGACTGATCAACGCCGACAGCTTTATTCCTTGTCAATACTCTATTGCACATATTTGGATGCATGAGCCGAAATTTCCTTTTACTTAACAGTTTAGCGACAACAATGATGCAGAGCTTCTTCTCCTGCACATATAGTTTCTGCATGATCGTATTCGATCGCCTTCCAACTTGTCAAGGATTGCGTACTAGGTGTTTTCGAGGACAAACACCTTCCAGAACGAATCTGTTCGTCGCTTGTTTTCCCTTTATGTCGCTCCAGTAACATAGGATGGTTGTTAACCGATAAAAAAGGTACAAGGAACAAATAGTTAGCCCAAGGCGAATCTTTGGCTTCTGTACGGGCAAACTAATTCAGAACACTGTTAGATGCGATGATGAATGCTTAAATTCCGATCACTATTTCACTACTTAACATTGACGAGCGCAGCCCACGGCGAAGAATTAAATATAACATTATTAGGCATTTACTTCCTTTGTACAAAATACAGAACTTATGTATCAAGTTCTGTCTACTAAGGCTAAAAAAGTGTTTGGCCGAGACTGCACGATAATTCAACCTTTGTAGGCTCTGAAAAAGGCCGACCTGACCTGCCGGAACGTCAGCTATTGGGCATTAATATATGCTGTAATAACAAGCTCCTGTTTGGCCATAAAGAAAGACAGTGATTTACCTCTTCAATTCTACAAACAGTCTAAAACTGAAAACAATCGATACCTTCTTCTCGTGGTTCGGTATGATGCACCTAACAAAGTGAGGGCTAGTATTTCTTAAAGTAGTCATTAAACGTGTAAGTTGTTCTTTGTGGAGCTGGGATACAGTCCTGAACATCCCTTTTTTGGCTCGTACACCGAACGCTGTATCGTTCATTTCAGTTGCACAAATTCCGGCGAATTCAGCTGAAAACAATGGTAAACCTTACAGCACGTCAAGCTCTAAAAGTTCAACAATGTGGGAAGTTACCATCTTTCCAGATATTGCACACAAACGGGTCCGTTGAACTTTGCATGAGGGCAACGACATTTTCGTTGAGAGGGTCCATGTTCTTCATCAACCACTGGTCAGCGGAATAGTCAACGCGACCTGAATATCGAAAAAAAAATACTTTTGACAATAAGCGGAGTTAAATATTGACATTAAAAAGTAATGGCGATATTTGCCTGCATAATGTACAACAGCGAAATCGCTCCTTGCACGCATATCCGGAACAATGAACTTCGGATGGTTGCTGTGAGTCTTTTGAAGCTTCTCCACAAGCGTTTTGTCGGTTGCCTTTGGGAATAGACATTGCTCATCAAGCAAAGCTAGCAGACCCATTGGTTTCTCGATTAAGTCAATTGTCGGCTGAAGGTCAAGCCCAAAATCAATGAATTGCCATTCGATTCCTGAATAACAAACGTAGATAAATCTGAATCCACTTTTGGCTATGAAAACTGCTACGATCTCGAAAGGTTGTTCAGTTTTTCAAAAGTTTCGACCATGTCCAATAGATAAAGATTAAAGAATAGACGTAGCTATTACCACAATAACACAGCCGCCATTTCCTAGCATTACAATTCATGACGAATAGCTATCACCAACTTTAACTGCAAAATATTCCTTCACATTACCTTACCTCAACTTGCCTACGAAGCCACGTACGCTCTCATAAGAGTGGCATGGATCCCTCCAACGGTTTACCGCCTCATCGTGACTGGAAGGTATTCATGAGTGTCGGGCTGCGATGTACACCAGAGAGATTCACCCCCCGTCAACGTCTCCCATGCTGAGAAGGAATCTGGCATTTCCACCAAAAATATCAAACTAGTCAAATGGTGGCAAATCTTCTAGTCCACAAGGGCGGCGACTGCCTGTGGTTTGGCTAGGCAGACCTCGGGACTCCAGAGAACCACAATAGCTAAACCATCAACACCCCGAAAAAGTGGAGACTATGCCGGGACCCACACAATCAGTGAAGACGGGCCATCCGACTATCCAAGTAATAGCATAGATATCATTTCACATAAACTTACCTAACACCTTCTGAGTATGTACTGAGCAAAAAGCAAGGAAATCAAAGAAAGGAAGATAATTTTCAATACTTTCAAACTTTACCGTCGAACAAAGAAATTGTTCAAATGAAAATTTCTCAAGCAAAGCTAATATGAAAATAAAGTTTTTAAGACCATAAATGGTGTAATTTTCCCTAAATTCAAAATAAAAATCTAAAGGAACCTTCTCTTTGGTATTCTTCCTGTTCCAAAACAAACATGGTGTTGTTGAAAAGTTGTTGAAGCTTCTCGTTTGTGAAATTAATGCAAAGCTGCTCAAATGAATTCAACTCGAAGATTTCAAACCTGTAAAAAGGACAAATAAGTAAACTGACAATAGAAATACATAAAGAATAGTACAAAGAATAGTAATTTTGAAAAATACGACAACAGAAAATTCACTGACGTGGTCAAGTAGTGAGTATCAAGTCAAGAATAAAAAAAAGGTCGATATTAGTCCTTTCGCGAAGCTCTGCTTTTTCGATAACTTACGACAATTTCTCGACCATAGAGTGTTTTATGAGATCAGAACTAAGTAAATTTATAGAATTTCCTCTACTCGTATATGTAATTTTTTACAGTTTTCTCTCGAATTTAAATGTCTGGAATTAAAACTCAAAACGCCCAAAAAACTGACAACGAAATCTAACTTTTCTGAAATTTTCAACAAAAGAGCGGCAAATAAAGCACAAGTGATACATTCTCGAAGACCACCCTGTCAACGTCGACGAAATTCCGCTTGATTATTTGCTTTACTTTCCAAATATAAGACTTGAATGGAAAAAAGAGCAGCAATATATGTCATCCTCCTAGCGGTTCACCGCCTCATCGTGGCTGCGAGGTGTTCTTGGGGGTCGAGCTGCGATGTACAGAAGGGGATTCATCCCCACGACAAGGTCTCCCAGGCTGAAAAGAAGTCCAGTGCTTCATCAGGAAGTCTAGCTATGAGTAAACCAACGCCTGGCCTGGGGTGATGACGACCCGAGCCAGACCCTGGTCAACTTGACCTCGGGACTCCAAAGATCCACAACGGCTAGGCCAATGAAACTCCGAAACAACCGAAATTATGCTGGCGCCCGCACAATCAGTGAAAACGGGCCATCCAAGTATCCAAGTAAGTAATATTTGTCATATCTTCCAGCAAGTTAGAGTTTCATTATAGTAATACACTAGAACTTGTATCTTGCAGGCAACGATGTGCAGACTTTAATAGTTTCTATTGCAATCAGTAAAATCCACTATGCGATGAACTACGCTGAATTCAAGTTGAAGGCTGCCATTATTTCCGTACCATTTGATTCATAAAAACATTCATTGTTCCCCTATCGTAGATGCAGAAAAAAAGCCTAGTCATAGTCAATAGACACGGTTCATCATAATAAAGAGAAAATACAGTGGCACATACCCAGCAATATCGAGAATTCCAATGAATGATGCACCTTGACGACGCGTTCTATCCAAGGACTTGTTTATACGATTCACCAACCACTTGAACATACGCTCATAAGAAGCTTTGGCAATGGCTTCAACTGCGAACTCGGCTTGTTTCTTGTTTTGGGCTTTATTCACAAATTCACGACCGACCTGAGCACAATTATTGGAGCGACCATAGTGAAAAGAATTTCATGAACTATCTTATAGAGCTTAAACCAAGAACGATTAAAAAAAGCAAATGATCTTGAAAATCACAAAATTTTGTTATAAGCTCACAACTAATTCCTGATAGTACTGAAAATTAAACCTTGATTCGGGGCCTCAAGAACGCTTTTGTCAACTCAATCACAGGTAAGCCAAGTAGATGACAAACTTTCTGGATGACTAAAAACCTGTTTGGTCAGACAAGGAATAGAGGAATTACAATGAAACAAACATCCGATAGACGAACCCTTATCATTAGGAAGTATGGCTTGGTCAGACTTTTTCTCCTGTGTGAATTCGAGGTTCCCCATAAGAATTGTTGCAGAAACAACACGAAGCACCGCTGAACAGAAAAAGAAAATCTCTCATTGCTCTGCTTTTTCAGATAAACTCAAACTCACATGTAATCTCGTCCTCAGCAAAACCCATGATTCTCATAGATTTGAGCGTGTTCTGGAATTCTTGGGCATCATCGACATTTGGCAATGTGATGTTTCCATTTACAAGGAACCGATACTTATCAATGTCTTCCAGAAGATAAGTGGCTGAAAAGAATGAACCGGCTGAATCCACTATAGATATCTAATGGTTCACAGCATAATATCCAGAAAAAATTCCTACGTAGTTTTTGAATGGAATCAGAAATGTGAACATACGTTCTTAAAGATAGCATTTAGTAGTACTGTATCACATAAACATAATCTTAACTACCAAAAAAACACATATTTTCAGAACTGCTACATTCACAGACCCTTGTGGAGCCAAAAACCTTTCTCCCTCCACTCAACGCACTCTTGTAGTCAATTCCCGCAAAGAACGCCTACGTACCACTAACTACAAACAACTCAGTTGCGTACATTTTCTCCATATAGTCTCGGTGTGTAGAGTCAAACGAATAAAAATTCACCCCGATGACGATCATGCATACCGCGCAATGCATGTTTTAGTGGGCCATATCGTGGCTCATCTGGAGCGTACCAGCGGCTGCTGTCGATCGTCCATCCATATCAATTCTCCCCGGACACCTGATATGGACTTATCTTGATAGACCGCACTGCACCCGACCCCCTTCGTTCTACCTCGGGTGTCTGTCTTTATCTCCGAGACAGCCAGACTCTGCGACTCTTCGCTGCGATTATTCCCTCGCACCTCACAGAAATGTCGCCTTGTGTTTATATATGCGCACTCCTAAGCGCGAAAACGATGTCGCCACACTCAAACACCACACCGGATGACAAATAATACCCTACAATGGCGATCACACTTGAGCATTATCGCTCCCTGAGAGGTCAAAACATCGGTGTTTATTATCGAATGAGGTTTGGAAGATCGCCACTTAAGCAATAACTTTGAGAGAGCTTCAAGCGTATCTACACCATGGTTCAAAACTTCTAGCGTACCAGCATTTGGTGATGCTCAGCTTCATTACCTTTAGACGTAATCCTGAGAATGAACGTGGATATATACCTTTCTCCGAAGACCCAGTACCGCGAAGGAGCTGATAGAAAATATGGAAGCTTCGCTCCTCTGGAGCTTGTCGCAACGTCCTCGACTTCTCGAGCAAATAGAATTCAATGTTTGCACCTGATATGTAACCGGACATGTCGAAATTGATGCGAATGAATTTACCCTGAAACATCAGTGATTAACAATGATTATCTTTGCGAATATCATTAGCTTCAATGGCGTTGACTCACAAAACGGGATGAATTGTCATTCTTCACAGTCTTGCTGTTACCAAACGCTTCTAAGATAGGATTCGCCTGGAGCAGTTGATGCTCTAATTCACCCTAAATGTAATAAACTGAAGCCTTATAATATAAACAATAAGACACACAAACAAAAACGGTCCAGTTGTCAGAATCATCTCATCACCTAAAGACTTCTAGTACAAGCCTTGCGTGAGAGCATGGTTAGAATATCAGACATGGAAGGATATCACTTTGGTGATAACAGACATGGGTGAATTGTGACAACAAAAACGACAGCAACAGAATATACACAAACATTCTTTCAGAGTAAACTTACGATCGAGTTCCGATACATGTCGTTCTATAAATCAACAATAAAATCATTAACTCTATCATAAAAGTCTCATAAAAGAAATGTTCGGGTCACAAGCTCAGTCTCAAACTGGTCAGAAAACCAGACTTCATAAAAGGACATCGCCTTGGTCACCATACACAAAGTAAGATTGTAAGATGAATCAAGACAACAACAACATTACACATAAACACCATTTTTCCTAGAAAACTTACGGTTGTATTCCGATATAAGTCACTCTATAAACAAATAATGAAATTAAAAAAAGAAGAATTTTGCATTATGAAAATAGAATTATGACTGAAGCTCTCTTCCAAACCCCACTTTAGCTGGCGAGATAGAAGTCTGCGATCCTCCTTTCGATCTCGTTACACCGGCTACATGAGCCAGATACTGGATAACTTTCTTCGTATTTTCGGTCTTACCAGCACCAGATTCTCCTCTGAATTAAGGTATTTTAACATATGAGTATGAGCTACAGTGACAAATATTGAACAAAAGTAAAAATACAAAACCCACGTGCAAAGAATTGACTGATCTTCGCGATCTGAAACAAAGCGTTTTTACACATGTGCCCTCTTACGAATAACAGTAGATAACCGAAGAGATTCTCTGCCCACCAGAACAATTTGAATTATTCCTAGAAAAACTTTCGTGACAAAAAGAAAACCTATTCCTCACCCTGTAACATAGAACGATAGGCAGAGTCGGCTATGGCGAATATATGAGGCGGCATTTCGTGCCTCTTCTTCCCTTTGAATTGTTCGATCAAACTCTCTGAGTAGATGGGCAGTCGTTTATACGGATTGACCACAACGCAGAAGAGACCCGAATATGTCTAAAGAGGTTAGGTAAGTACACATGAAAATATAAAAGTGCAAGCAACAAGTAGCAAAAGAAACTGAGACTTACATAAATAAGAGAACTAAAATAACGCTCTTTGAGATTGTGCAAAACAGAAGCCTCGTTCAAATGTGTCAACTCAGACATATCCTCCACCTAAAGAATTTCATTAGTTTAAGATAAAACCCACAAAAATAATGCCACAACCTTGTCGAATTTTGGAGGGTTAGCCTTCTGAACATCATCTTTGCTAATCGTTACAGTCTTGCCGGAGTCGCATATTTCAACGATGACTTCGTCGTTTGTTTCCTGTCTGAAAACAGAGTTGACAATTTCAGCACCACATAACACTATTTGCGCGTTTAGAAAAGAGATTATACAGCGACTTTATGGTTCCTGCGACGAATCCCTCTTTTTCATGGGGTACCCAACACAGCTTTTTGCCGGCCCATTCCGAGGCTCGCGTTGGGTCGGCAACAGCGGCTCTCTGCACCTGCAGAAAGCGCATGCCCGACTCCTCCATGATCTTCTGCAATAATAGTATTTATGTCATTCCGAATTACCAAGAGCTGGAATACGTGGAAGAAGAAAACGAGCATAATGAAGAAAAGAAGAAAAAAAACGTAAGGACAATACAGTAGCTAAACTTTGAGCGGATATGTTCGGGTATACTCGTTAACGCAGTTTTATTTTTGAGGTTGTTATCAGAAATACGAAACAGTAATCGTAATCGTGTTTGCTATGCGTATAGATGAGCTCCGAAACACACACACACACACGCAGCTAGCAAGAGCATTGAGGACGATCGTCAGCTAGAACAACGCAGCAGCGTGGTCGAGCTCAATGTGGTCGGCTATTTCCATCATCGTTGACTATGAGTAAGATTGAAATCCACCACCATCCATCCCATCAGCCGACATGACATGATGACTGTTCGTCGACATTCCGTCAAAATATGCATCAATCACGTGGTTAGTCACGGCAAATTCCTATCACTTTATTGTAGGCGAATATTTAATGCGAAGCGATTTGACACATGACAAGGCTTGTGAAGAAAACATGGGCTGACTTCGTGTGCTTACCGTATATCTAATCAGCTCCCGTTATTCTGAACCTATACTGTATTACATCATACAGATCATATAGTCGAACAGATTGTTTTTACGACTGCAAACTTCACAAATACCTATATAACTTTCCTGACCTTAGTAATTACGAAAACGTCGCTGAAAACGACAAGAGAGAGTGACCTTGACAGATTGCATTCCTCAGCGGCTAAACGAGTGATCGCTGAGGGAATTGCAAAAAAAAAACGAGTCGGTCCACACGATAAGGAACGTTACATACTTACTACTATAACTGTCCTATATTCATTAGACAGAAACGATGCTTACTAGATTTCACACAGTAACAAGGTAATAGCTCTTGAAAAGTTTGTTCGTTGCTCTTGACACGACACAGACGAAGAGTGCCAGTTGTTGAATGGCAAACGTTGTTCACCCCATGTTCTCGACAAGAACTATCAATATACAGTGTGGCCGAGTAAACATGAGCAAATGAACACTAGTGTGCACTGTTTTCTGGATACGATTCGGGAATTTCGGTTGGTCGCTGCGAGGAAGAGAGAGGGTAAGGGGGCAACACGACGCAAAGGCGGGAACAAAAGACCCGGGTGAGTCAGCGCGACATGCATCGACCAGTTGGCTGACTGACCATTAGGAATGGGTGCGGCCAACCGAATAACCAGAAATCGCTCACTATGCAACTATGTGTTCCTAGGTGGTTCGTTTCCGCTTAGAAACACTCGCCATGATGCTGACAAATACTCTTCTTCAGCACAGCGTTGCTCGATATATTTGAAGTGGAACAACGGCCTTAAACACCATGCACATTCAAGTGGCTACGACTCGTTATGAACTATAGTGTCAACACGAGCGAACACAGCTCTCATGGCTTTGGGCTGGTAAGCTGTAATGTCGACTTACAATGCTTAAACAACCACTTCTGCTCCTAACACTCCGTTCGGTTATACTTTACATCAATGGAAACTAACACAAGTTTTTTCTTCATAATCGTGCTTATTATGTAATCGCTCGATAAGAAATGAAGGATATGTGAAAGAATCGTGAAGTGGATGCCCCATTCTGTGCAGCCGAGGTCGCTGAAGATATGGCAGGTGCGATGAACCCCATCCGTAGCCAGTTTCAGCGTCAAAAACCGAGCGAAGGTGTCCTTATTTGCTCACGGGGCTTGTGTTCACAGTTCATGCACATAATGATTCATCAAACTCTATGTTAGCATCGACTATTACAGTGTCATGACAATGACCTGAACAAATTCGTACTCTCGTATTTCAAAAATGACATGTCGTCAATGTGTTCAAAAACAAGGACTAAGTATAGTCATAAACGCTTAACAGCAGCTGCTCACTGTAATTCGAAGCGAATGAGGACGTGTCAATGCGTCTCAAGGTGTCTGCAGTGTAGGTAAATGGCAAAACTACCGGTGGAAAGCAAGAAAGATCTTTGGCGACTAGTAGAAACAAAGAATGGAATGATAACGAAGTGCTGTCTATGGTAGGTTAGCCGCCACGTCAACGTTGCTCAGTATATAGTATGGGTGAAAGTATGGAGACACACGAAATAATGACGGGAACTGTTTATGAATCATGGATGAACGGAGGAGAAAAAGAAGAGGAAGCAATGAAAGGATGAAAGAAGGCTGACGCAAGAAAACTGAAACCGTGAAAGAAAACCAGTGTTGCTCCCAGTAACAGTGGTTTTCGTTCACGGTTTCAAAAGGTAGTAAGGGTCTCAGTGTAAAAGGCTGTTCTGGCATAAAAACATTTGGTTTGGAGACATAAACGTTTCAGGTGTTTCCCACCATCCATAGAATTTATCGCGTATGAATGCCCTATAGAACATCTGAAATTTCAAAAATCGCAAATTCTCCCACGCAATGATTAATACAATTCCTTTAGCATTCAAATGTCATCACCACCTTTTTCACCAAGAACTAGCGTAATATTGGCGCATTTTTCTTTGTATGAGTGAATGTTGCGATGGCTGCTTAAAACCTTAGCTCCATGTTAAGGGACAGTTTCGCCAACAAACGAAATGAACGAACCCATTCATCGCTGATCCAAACGGTTTAAACGCAACGATGAAAGCCTCGCAAGTAACGATCGTGGCAAACTCAAGACTTCTACTGACGCCGAGGAACTAAAGCTTGGTTGAAGTGAAGTCCTAGTGTTCGGAAACCACCTCAAAAGTTAGCTGCATGCGTTGGCACGACTTACTACTAGCCAACATTGCTAAAAAAAAAAAAAAAGTCGGGAAACCTAAACACCAGGTTGGTCCATGAAACAAAACCTCTAAACCTCTGAAAAATCAAATAAATTAGCGAACAATAACACACTGAATGTCCTGGATTTGAAAATCATATTCTACGTCTACATGTATTAAAAATTATTTGAAGCAGTGTATGGACTTCCCATACTGATAAATCATTCTAATCGCTCATTCACATTCCAATTCCATCTCTTGGGAAGAAAAAGTATAAAGTTTATTTGTAGGAGATCATACAAGCAGAGCGGGGATATTTTTTAAGAAAAAATGTTAAACTGTAGGTCTAAAATATGGTCGTCAAGTTAAGGAACTATAGAAACGGCAATAATGAAAAGGATTGGGATGACTTCGACGTTTGCTGTGACATAAGGCACATCGTAATCAAAACAATGAAGTACAGCATGAGCATTTCTTTGCAAAAACTCACAATCCATTTTAAGGACATGTCGAAACACAAATCGTGCATTTAGCGCGCCTCTGGTGAAATTGCACAAGCATTCGACATTCGATTCTAATTGGAGAAACACTAAATGTACTATAAATAACCCCCAATCATAGACTGGAAATGTGAAGAAAACAAGACAAGAATCTAGGGATCTGCAACTAGATGACAACGATAACCGACAAAAATGGAACAGGACGACGGCATTGATAGTAGAAACAGACAGTAAGCGACCGTTGGAACAACACAGATTACCAATGAATATTCGGCGTGTTGCAGTTTAGTCAACGTCGTTGCATACAGTGGAATGCAAATGATCACTTTGACATTCTACTCGACAAAGCCGATCACAACAATGGCTAGTGATAACTCGACTGCCAGCAGAAGACACTAAACATAATCGCCGATGAAGAGGCCTAGCGAGGTGGTGAATGATGCAGTTCATCAGGAAGCAGTGTGCTAGTTTGACTCCCTCCCTAATACTCTTCCTCAATCGACGTGGGAACATCTTAGTTCGGATACCTCCAACAATGCAAGGAGAATCGACTTGACCAGCATTCTAGGACATTCATGAAGCAGATGAAATCCTCAAGCATCAGCTGAAACAACACGCTAAATGTTCGCGGAACACTGTTGACGATGAATGCGAGGAAAATGAACCGAAATGTAAGAAGTGTTGGGATCCGCACAGTTGTGATGACGGGTCATGTAAAATAAAAGTAAAAATAGCCGCCAGTAGTAATAAGTTAGACGTTAGTCAAGTCAAACAAATGCGACAAGTTGGATTTGATGCGACGCGACGAATCCGATGTTTACACGACGATGACAAGAAGTCAGAGAATATGAGAAGCACTCTGTTAAGAACGAGATCTGTGAAGGACCATCGAAACTTGTGACCTGACAACAATGAACAAACTCTTAACAAAACGGCTTCTCGACACAGGTTTCTATACATTTTCCACAAATCCCGTACTTATAATAGCCCCATATTTCTACCTAAATAACGCAGTAATGCGGACCGCCAGCCAAATGAAAGTTATGGAACAAGGGTGATATATACAAGAGATAAATGCAAGATGGTGCGGATGTGATGTGTGGACCTCGAAGATGGCCCGTATCCGTCGGCCCCATCACAATAAAGGTCATAGCATGAAACGCTACAACCACCCGCACCCCACACGTACTCATATAGAAAACCAGCAACCGATCAATACTACCACATTACACCATAAGTGATACTAAAATGGAGTCGAGTCGAGATAATGTTAGAGGACAAAACACACACACTACTGCTGGAACTGCAAGGAACAGAGTCCAGAATGCGAATTTACCACGAAAATCAAAGGAATGTTTAATGTAACGAACATTAGAAAACTGCCTTGCCAACCCAACGACGACGGAATGACAATGAAAACACTGGATAGATAAATTATTACTAGTAGTGAAGATTTATCGGAGGGAGAGTAAGAAGATTTTGTGGAAAGTTACATGACAGGACTCCGTTAACAGTCCGTCAGCGAGAGTCACTAAGGCAGTGTTTGAATTGCGCAACGACGCCTTAAAGGTCTGGTGACGAATCGCGCCGTACTGTAAGTATGTGTGGCGCGTGCAGTTCGAATTGAATTCGTTTGCTGGCGATAATGTCGTTAAGGAGTAGAACCGATTGCTTATTACTAGATAACGGGTCTTGTGGATGCTGAATAACTGGGAGGACAACGTATTTATGTGTGAGCAACGCTTTGATGAATAGATGACGTCGAAGACAATGCCCCTAAGAAATGAGAAAAGGCGACGACGATTAACCAAAATCGACTCCATCGCTTCGAGCAGATTGGTATTCGATAGCGATAGTAAGAAAGGGTAACGGCCATGCTGACGGACATCGTTCCATGTTGACCGACAATAGTGTTCAGGTTACGAGTGGCGGTGGACGCTTTCCGCCTAAGCTAGTTGCTTTTGCAACTAATCTAAACTCATTTGTATTTCTACAATCGACACCCGAATATAGAGTGCTTTCGACTTTATGAAGACGGAAAAGATTTAGAGAAATGTTCGATCCTTAGCTCCATATGAACAGGATTGACGACATCGCACACGTACAATCTCTAAGAATGATGGAGA